TAGGGTGTAAATGTTTACTGTTATTTCCTGACCCTTAGACTGAGCTTATAGTTCCTTAAATATCTTCTCCAACTATCTGGAATTTTCCCCTTATGCATTTTAAAGACTCTGTTCAAATACCTTTTCCTTTGTGGAACTGTTGCTAATGTTTTCCTCCGTCTCACACCCTCTGGTTAAAGTTGATCTCTCCCTCCCTTTATACCCTCATTGCACCTCTTTTATAGCATAACTTGGAGCTAGGGCACTTTTATGTTTTATACACATGTCCATCCCTCCATATGACTGTGATTGCAGGGAGACAGACCGTGTTTCAGTTTGAATGGTGCTTGGTACATAGTAAGTGCCTTTAATTGTTTGCTCAGTCGTATTGACTTCACCGTGGCTCATCTCATCCCTGCCCATTAATCTTACAAAATGGGCAGGTCCTGTATGTAAATGACTATTTCCTGAGAACTCAGTGCTTGGGTTGAGCTGAAGGAATCCCTATACATGCCTATAAACGTGGAGCTGAGCACAGCTTGTGCCCACCTAAGGACTTCTGGGCCAGACACTCATGGATCTTGGCATCTATTCCTAGCCCATAATCTTGCATGCTTTCTTTTGGGGATGATTAATTAGAATGAGGCTCATTGTTCTCTCACGTCCACTGGGTCAAAAACGTTTGTCATTGTGCTCAGCTCTCAGTAACATGAGGGGCTGTTTAATCAAAATGTGTTGTGTGACCGGCAGATATAGTAGAGTCTATTTTTTCCACATGGTTAACAATATTTGAAAGTGACTCCAATCCTTTCCAATGGACAGATCTTACCTTCTCGGGCTCATCTAGGTCTCTAAGCCACCCCCACTGCCAAGGCTCCCTCAGACAAGCCCAGCCCGGGGGACCTGAGCTACAGTACCTTCCTGAATCTCTGTTACTCAATCCAGGTTTCTGGGGTCCACTACTAGTAGATTGAGGGCTAATCCATTCCAGAATACTATCAGCAAAGGGGAGTTGTTTACTGTATATATTTAATGTCATATAAAACCTTTAAGCAATTTCTCTTGAGGGCTCCAAAAGTGTACCAAATGGTTATTTTACAAATTACAGTGGAAATCTGCTCTGTGATATAGCAGTTTAATGGCCCCCCTTATGAAAGCAGCCCTGTGCACCATCCGCATCTACGATGCTGCTGATCCCTCAGTGAATGGCTCTGTGTACACCCTCTGCTCCCACCCACTCTGCCCTCCACTCCACACCCAGGCAGTCACCAGCTTCTTTCACAATAGCTCACAGGAGCTTTTTCAAAAATTGCTCTTAAATCCACTCTCTTCTCACCAGTCACACTGAACTTCTTTCTGTTCTTCCAGTTGAGGGTCTATTAAGAGGTTAAGCACATGAATTATGCTATCTACTAGCTGTGTAACTTCAGGCAAGTGATGATTTCACTGAGTTGCAGTTTCTTCATCTATACAATAAAGATATTAATAGTATACCTGCCTCATGGTATTATTGTAAGGATTAAATGAGATCATTAATGTGAAGCAATCAGAACAGCATTTGGCAAAAAATAAGCATGTAATAAATAATAAGTATTGTAAGCGTGTGATAAATCATCAGTAGTGTTCCTTGACTACTCCATACTTTCTTGCCTTAGAGCATGGAATGTTGTTAACCTCCTATTCACCTGGTTAACTATATAACCTTCATGTTTCACTTTTAAAGTAACTTCCTAGAGGAAACATTTTCTCAGCCTCCGTCCCCCCACCCCCCATACCAAAACTGGGTTGAGTGATCATTTTCTTGTGTCTTATTCCCTTGGTAACCTGTACTTCCTTCTGATATCACCCATCACATTGTATTACAATAGGCTGTTTCCCAGCTGTCTTTCCCATTATACTGTGAGCTCCTTGGGTGCATTCTAGGTGCCTGGCTCTTGGTTATTAATTGTTGAAGGAATGAAAAATGAAAGACTATGAATAAATAGCTTTTTCTACTTATGAAACTGTTCTTGAGCCTTGTTCTATTTTAACCTTTAATACTAATTTTAAATATCACTCTCTATATTTTTCTCTAAATCTACAGGTTTCTAGACCCTTGTTGAGGTGAAGAACAGGTTACTATGAAGTGACCTGCGAGAACAACGTTCAGAATTCTCTCAAGTCATGTTGGGAGTGCAGTCTGCAGTTCGGTATTTGCTTGTTAAGTATCCACAGGCAGTATGATCGTCTCATCATCTTTCATGTGCTTAGCCAATTCCCTACCTGCTTAGTCACTGTATGCTTAGGGAAATGTGAGATCATTTAAATACAGCAATCTAGAAAGCAATGCATATTAACACATAATGCATTATTTCTCTTTAACAGTATGGATAAGGTGGCTAGAATCAACTGTATTTCTGTTAGAATGGAAGATACGAATTCATTTTCACTCACAGATTGTCTCATTGTCAGCCTCTTGGCAATTGATATTTCCAGTTCCATAAATTTAGATGAACATTACTTAGCATCTTTTAGAAATCCAGAGGGGGAAGCTGTTGTTAGTCTGAATCCCTCCTCCTTTGAACATCCCCTCCCCTTTCTGCAGCCATCTTTATAGGCTGGGTATATTCCCAAGAGGCAAGTCAACTACAGCATGGGTAATGTATCATGGTGGTCTCTCTGAATAGCCCATAAGAATGAGCAGCAGACAGCTTCTTGCTTGACTTGCCTGAATCCTCACTCTGTCCCTATCTCTCCTGGTTCTAAACCCCTGGAATGGTGCTGCCACCATTGATCCTCATTCGTTGCCACTCTTGATTCAGGGCTGCTGCCTGCTGTCCCCCATTTTGCACCTTGCTTGCTCCTACCAAGGATAGTTCAGGTTCTTGATGACCTCCACTGCCTCAGATGGAAGCTCTCAGCAGGCCTGAGCATTCGTTCTACAGAGTCCAGGTCCTGCCCCATCAGGAGAGTCTGCTGGGGAGAGAGGGGACATAGATTTTCTGCCTTAACCTGCTCTGCAGGTCGACAGTTAGGAATGGAGCCTTGTTGGGAAAAAGGGGTTGGTGTGTCCAAAGGCAGGACTGGAAGGAAGAATTTCAGCGCGCTTCTCACTCAGGTATCAGATGACCATTTCTGGAGAAACTCAGAGACTGTGGACTAGACACTATGACTTTAGGGACTTGGTAAAATTCTGTAGCCTCGGTTACTTCCACCTGGTTGTTAGTTTGTCACCCCTTTACAATGTCCCTGTAGTGATCAAGAAAACAGAGAAACAAAAAAACAAACAAAAGCACCCTACACAGCATGGAGAACTTGTTAGCTTTCCCGGGGTGAGGTGGCAAAGTGAGGAATCGCCACGCAAACGTCAAGATTGATGGGGCGAGAGTCACTGAACGACAGGTTGGTGGTTGCATATTCTGACAGGTGAGGAAAACAGGCTGAGTCTGGGGGTGGGGAGCTGGGAGTTTGTCTGTACTAAAAAAGGGGCCCAACACAGACATTCCTTGCCAGGTCAAGTCAAACTATTCTAACATCAATGAAAAATGAAGGACTAAAGCTGTCTCAAGGCAAGGAAGAATAGAGGTGTATGTTTTACCAAATGAGGAAAGACACGTGGGGAAAGTCCTGAGAGGTGGCAGCTGTGATCCAGATGTTTTCCAGCAAGCAAATGAAAGAACTGGAAAAGCAAGTTATAAACTCCTCTGAGTATGTAGAAAAAGCCTGCCTTGCTTTGGCTGAGGATAAAAAGACCTGCAAATTGCATAGGTTCCTAGAAAAGTCAGGCATAGCAGACACTGTTTGTTGCGAATTCAATACTCACTCTCCCTCCTGCTTCCTAAAAGCAACGTGATTTTGCTCATGAATTTACTCTTCTTCATGGAGCCATTTTGGTCAATGGGAAGCTGACACGCTCTTC